GAGGAGGAGAAGAGGAGAGGAGAGAAGAGAAGGAGGGGATGGGGGGTTGGTGCTGGGGGATGGGAATAGAGGAGTTGCAGGTGGGCAGGTTGAAGGTGGTGTTGGTACCGGCAGAGTGGAAGGAGGGAGGTGTGATGTTGTGGAGCTTGGGTGGTAGGCCACTGAGAGAGGGAGTGGAGGAGGCTGCAATGAGGGTGTGGATGGAATGATTGAACGGATTGAAGAAGTTGTTTAAACTGTTTTCCTTCTCCACTACCCCATCCTCTGAGCTGGTCTTAGCTTTATTGCCTGTGATGGTTCTCACACCATCCCAGACCTCCCTGATGTCATTCTGTTGCAGTTTCTGTAAATAGTATGCTTCAGGCAGCATTTCACCTTCCTCTGTTCTGCTCTCATCTCCTCCTTGCTGTTCCTCCTGAAAGCTTCCTTCTTTCTATTGAGGACAGCTTTGACTTCCTGTGTTACCCATGGTTTGTTATTACGGTAACACCGTACAGTCTTTGCAGGGGCAACCACATCCAGACAGAAATTGAAATAATCCGTCAGGCAGTGGGTAGCTCCCTCGATGTCATCATCTGGACTCAGTACTACATCCCAGTCTGTGGTGTCAAGGCAGTCTCTCAGTTCATACTCAGCTTCAGGAGTCCATCTCCTAAGTTTGACGATCAGCTGTCTTTGGACCAAAGGGGTGTACTGTGCTGAACCAGTTATCCGCTATCTTTGCCTTTATTTTAGCCCCAGCCCTGCATCCTCAGTATCTCCTTTAGATAGTTTCCCGGTGACGTCACTCTACTACCTATAGTTCCGTAGTCATCCATCTTGTGTGGCAACACAGCGTATGGATACAGTAGATATAAAATACACAAAAGAACACCAATAATGGTAAATACCTGTGTTTTGTGGGGTTGTCCAAACCAATCTGGAAATGGAGATCGCAAGATGAAGTTTTTTGACATAAAGCGATCTGTCACCGAGGGAAGCTGACGAAGGATATTTTGACAGAAAGAAGGATGCTATGGCTTTCACGTATTAACCGTGCTAATTTCAACCCAGATTCAAGCATGGCATTACAAAGTCTGTTCTGAACACTTTATTTCTGAGAATTACATTATACTTTTATTTAATACATATGTTCAATGTCAATAACATTTTAATATATCCAAATGTACTTACATGTCATGTGCATGCATGACAAATGTACACAATGCAAACGTAAATCCTCAGCTGACTACAGTCCATATCATTATCGGTATTTTCTATGTACATGTAAAATTAAACTATTTTTATTTTAATGAAGAAAGTAAAAAAATACATATTTTATGTGATTTTGGAAAAAAATATAATCTAATCAATAGTAAAACATGGTTTTTAATGTAAATTATTATTCTAATGATGTTCACAAAAGACATCCGTACATGCCACTGTGGTTTTTACATTAACACTGTATTATTTGGGTGTTAATAAATACCGTATGATATACATTGTCTGGCCAAATTTCAATGTCTGTCCGCTTCCACTCAGCTTTGTTGACTTCGTATGGGTCTTTTCCATCGATTATTTTCAACTCGTCCTTTGAATAAATGAGAGAACTGACCGGTTGCCAGTTTAAGTTAAACTTACAGCAAAAAGTTTGTCTGTTTTTATATTGATGCATTTTATAAGAAACTAGCGTCTTGAGGGCGCAAAAGGATTTTGGTGCGTGAGCGGTGGCACGGTTCGACCCGTGATCGTGCTAGACCAATCGAGTAGCTGATTGATGTCAACACTTCTGGCAACACGGCTGCCTCCATGGTTTTATCTAACATTACCGACAGAGAGGAATTCTCCCAAGTGGGCCAAATGGATTCTAAACAGTGCTTTATACATAGCCGCCTGCACAAAGAACAATGAGGAAAATAGACGATAAGGTGAACTTTCTCTGTTAGGTCATTTTGATCAATAAAAGGAAGTAATCAATGACAAGGACCAAATCCAACACTAATCAATCATCCATCCATCCATCCATCATGAACCACTTATCCGGGGCCGGGTCGCGGGGGCAACAGTCTGAGCAGGGACACCCAGACTTCCCCCTCCCTCGACACTTCCTCCAGCTCTTCTGGGGGGACCCCAAGGCGTTCCCAGGCCAGCCGAGCGACGTAGTCGCTCCAGCGTGTCCTAGGTCTTC